ATTTGACGTGCGACAACATGTCAGAAGAAAGAGCGAAATCCATTTCAGTAGTCAGCAACATGCGCTGCCACTTGGAAACGCAACATGGGAATTCAATCTGAAACCGACCTTCGACGTTTAACAGATTGGAGGCGCGGCAACCGCTTTAACTGGCAGACGGAGCTTCATAGAAAGAGATCACAGTGAAAACTTAACGACCAACACCCTCAAAGCTAGATCTGAGGATAGACACCCCATGACCCTTCTTTTGGGCAGCTCCAGTTCAAGCGCCACCAAGCAAGGACGCAGTGGTTGGAAGAATCCCAAAGGTCCTACTTGACAAAAGCAGCCTTGATCGTTGTACAAATTCTGCATATCAAACTTGTACAAATTGTGTCGTGTCTTGGCCGTTGTGGTTGTAGCTACTCTGTCTGGTTGGTTGAAAAATGTCGGTGAACCGTGGTCCCATGTGTAAAATATATCAAATGATTCACTAGTCTATGGGAATCGCAAAGCCGTGCTGCTAGCTGCTAGGCCGCATCTGCAGGAGGCGTTGCGGGGGTATGCGGCGGCATACGCAGCGGTACCTCATCAAAATGTGTTCAACCTTTGGAGTAAAGGGTACTGAAAGGCGTCAGCACGTGCAGACACAAGCACCAAAGCAGCCAGCTGCACGCGTTCTTGGACTCGAATTTTTTTTCCTCACCATGGTGACACAGAAGAAGGACTAGTCCTAAAATATGTGACTACCTTGTGTATATTCCTTAGGACTGAAGCGACATGGACGCTTTGTTGAAGCCCCTTGTTGGGCCTGTTCTGGCTCCTGCATTTTGCGGAACGAGAAAGCTTCAAAAACTGCGTGATGTTGAGAACAACTGCACAGTCAGCGTGTGCATTTCCACTCTATGTACGTTCCTTGCCATTAGCCTGCTTCCAGAACCTACTGGCGCACAAGAAGTGGCTTCCACTTGATATGTTTGGGGCCGTTCCCGCAAAAAAGACTCGATGGATGCGTGATGATCGGTGGCCAGCTAGGCGCGACCTCTTTCCTATATCCTCCGACGCCTCCGAAGCCTCCAGTGAAATTCCTGAAAGCGACCAAAGACCGAAGAACATGACGGGCGAGCCAACATTACACTCTTTTCTGCGGCGAAAGCAGCACCGGGCGCATTTGCTTTACCTTGTTTATTTGCCCGCAAAATCAGCGTATTTGCAACCCGTGCTTGGGGGGGAGGCAAATCATTGGAATGGGCAGCGTCGATGAAGGATAAGGCCAACCAGTCCCCTTAGACGTGGATGCCTGACATAGTGCTATGGCTACAAGTCAGATATCTGGACAA